AACCTTTCAAATTATAGATATTCTAATAAACATACATTTGTGTATTACAAATAAATGAAATTAAAATGAAATAATAAAATATTAACGATGTTGAAATTAAATCGATAGAATCATTGAAAAAATTTAGAGCTTATAAGAATAAAAATTTTATGTTATATAAGATCATTAATTTCTTTTACTTAAACCATATTGTTTGGCAATTTCTACTGGTAAAGGTACCAACCAATAATCAGGCAACTTGTTATTGTTCTGACTCAGGTATTGACTGATAAGATCATTAGGAACATCCTGTTCAGTTCCGTTGGGTAGTTTAACATAAAAATTAACTTCCCCTTTAAAATTTAGTTTTAAAATAAGTTCACATTTCACATTAATTGTTAATGGATTGTTTTCTAGATGGCCATTCGACATGGTTGAATTTCTTTGAATTGAATTAAAATTGGAGTCTATTCTTGTCTATGGAATTTTAACCATAGTGACTTCAATACCTTTTGGTATATTAACATTTGATGGTATAATAGTAACGTTTTGTGAAAGTTTTTGTATTATAGAAGATGGTGCTTGGAGTTGAGTATACTTGGTAGGTGTTATTTGTCTGTTTGTAGATACAGAGTTGAATGATTTATTTAAATTTGTTTTTGAAGGTGAACATTCGGGCTTTACAGTGGTTGAAAAACTTTGAACATTATTAATAATACTTTTCGGTTTATTAACATTTGATGGCGTAAGAGTAACGTCTGGTGAAAGTTTATGTATTATAGAAGAGAGTGCTTGGTGTTGAGTATACTTGGTAAGCGTTATTTGGCTGTTAGCAGACACAGTGTTGTATGATTTATTTAAATTTATTTTCGAAGGTGAACATTCGGGCTTTACAGTYGTAGAAAAACGTTGAGCATTATTACTAATACTTTTCAGTGTATTAACATTTGATGGCATAAGAGTAACATTTGGTGAAAGTTTATGTATTATAGAAGATGGTTTTTGGTATGGTCTGTATTTAGTAGCTGTCATTTGTCTGTTTGCAGAAACAGAGTTGTATGATTTATTTAAATTTGTTTTTGAAGGTGAACATTCAGGCTTTACAGTCGTTGAAAAACGTTGAACATCATCACTAATACCTTTTGGAATATTAACATTTGATGGTATAATAGTAACGTTTTGTGAAAGTTTTTGTATAATAGAAGATGGTGCTTGGAGTTGAGTATACTTGGTAGACGTTATTTGTCTGTTTGTAGACACAGAGTTGTATGATTTATTTAAATTTGTTTTTGAAGGTGGACATTCGGGCTTTACAATCGTTGAAAAACGTTGAACATCATCACCAATACTTTTTGGAATATTAATATTTGCTGACATATCAGTAACGTTTTGTGAAAGTGTATGTGTTATAAAAGGCTGTTCTTGTTGTTGAATATGCTTGGCAAATATAATTTGTCTGTTTGTAGACTCAGAGTTGTATGATTTATTTAAATTTGTATTTGAAGGTGGACATTCAGGCTTTACAGTCGTTGAAAAACGTTGAACATCATCACCAATACTTTT